TTGCCCAGGCTGGAGTGCAATGGTGCGATCTCAGCTCACCGCAACCTCTGCCTCCTGGGTTCAGGCGATTCTCCTGCCTCATCCTCCTGAGTAGCTGGGATTACAGGCGCCCACAACCAGGCCCAGCTAACTTTTGTATTTTTAGTAGAGACGGGGTTTCACCGTGTTAGCCATGATGGTCTCGATCTCCTGACCTCGTGATCCACCCGTCTCGGCCTCCCAAAGTGCTGGGATTACAGGCTTGAGCCACCGCGCCCGGCCTTTTTCTGTAGTTTTTAATTGGGAGCAGGGAGTACGCAGGGGAAGGGTTCACGGGTTCCTCTGAAAATCTGATGGAAAGTTATAGATTCTCTCACCAGATAAACGAATAGAAGCACACACACATACAATGTTGCATTGGAAAATGCTGGCTTGGTGAACTCCACCAGCTAATGCGACCCCTAGCAGGCTTCTTTCTCCATTTTAATCTTGCTTCCCTCATTGTTAGACCTGCTCTAGGAACTCCAGGCTGATTTCTAAGTCACTTTCATGAGATAGTGTGGTCTACACCAGCCGGAACTCCCCCTCCCTCATACTTTTCGGTTAGAGTCAGGTTTTCAAAGACATTGGTGAGGTTCACCTCAATCATAGGCTCCTTCTGGCAATGTTCTGTGTGCCTTTCTCAAAACACTGTCAGATTTGTAAAGCACAACCATGCCTTTGTGAAACTGGGCTGCCTATTTTTATCCACCTTCCCTCTCACCCCATTTCCTGAAATATGTTGTTGTTATTTCTCTGATTAGTGTTCTAGTCATGCAGAGAGACCCAAGGCTCATGGATAAAGACCAATCACAGCTTTGAAAGACACTCAAGTCCTCCAATATGGAAATGGTTACACTTTACAAGGAACATGAGCAGAATAAAATCTCTTTAGGGAAACAGTTTCATGACAGCCAAATGCTGAAACTCAGAAGAGACACAAAATTAATCCTTGGCTGACAAATGATCACTCCCCTCGACAATGTCCTTTTTTTCCTGACTCTTAATTAAGCACTGGAGGTGGTGAGTCTAATTAGAGAGAAAGACATCCAGAGCTGCCCATGCATCAGCGTGTACAGTTTGTGCACTGTATGAACACACAGCAGAGGAGGCCAATGGGGCTAAAATTCAGCCCTAAGCCCGGAGCACCTGCTGAGTCTGCCCAGAAGGGGCACCTTTTTCTAATTCATCTGAGGAAAGGAGAGCTTTTTTCCTAATTCTCACAAGAAACCAGAGTTGTAAGAATTTGGGTTCCTGCAATCATTTTTAAATGTATTTTATTTATTTTTTTTTTTAGAGACAAAGGCTCGCTCTGCCGCCCAGGCTGGAGTGTGGTTGGCCCTGTAGACAGCTATGATTCTCTAGTTAACCTATTTGGATTGAATCAGTTAAATTGTCCTTATAACCCAATGTCCCAGTCTGGTTTATAGCCCATGTCATAAGCCAGTAGTTCTTAAAATTTAGCCAGCAACAAAACCATCTGGAGGGCGTGTTAAAACAATTGCTGGGCTAGACCCTCAGAGTTTCTGAGTCAGTACGTTTGGGGTGGGACCTGAGAATATGCATTTCTAACAAATACCCAAGAGATGCTGACGTTGCAGGTCCAGGGACCTTACTTTGAGAACCAGTGCTAGAAGCTATAGCTATAGGCGAGGATTTATTTTGGACCTTTTCCATGTTTACTCATGAGAGCCTCACTGAGCCTGTCCAGATCAAATAAAAATAAGTCATTCAGGTACCCCAAAATGGAGTGGAAGGGTAATGCTAGTGGGCGCTTAGCCTGGGTACCAGTGGCACACATGGTCCACAGTTCCCAGAATTACTGTGCATACGGGACTGAGAAGGCACTCTGTGCACAGGAGGCATTTCCATTCATTTGATTCACCGCGTGTCTGCATCTGTGTGATGAAGGAGCCACTGTTTTCCTGGTCAGTAGCTCAGCTGTGGGTACTGATGGTTGCAGCAGCTTACATGAAATGAACGGTGTAGTTCTCAGACCATTGCTGAGTGAAAAGACTGCTTGTTTTGGTTGGAGCTATGTCAGTGTATGCAAGGGGAGACCCACCCTGGGGAGTGCAAGGCATTCTGATGATCCACATTCACTAAAGCCCACACTGTTGTTTTATGCTCAGATAAGGAAAAGGCTTTTTGCACAATAGACTCCTTAGTTGTCAAATGCTTCCACTTCATTCATCCTAAGTAAGTGCGTGCTCTTTTTTGAAGGTATCCAGATTCAGGGAAATCTCCTGTTTCCTTTGGTACATGATTCTAGCCTTAGGCTCCTGTTATAATCCCAGAATTCTTTTTTTTTTTTTTTTTAAGAGATGAGGTCTTGCTCGGTCACCCAGGTTAGAGTGCAGTGGTGTGATCACAGCTCACTGCAGCCTCCAGCTCCTGGGCTCACCAAGTGATCCTTTCACCTTGGTCTCCTGAGTAGCTAAGACTACGGACATGTACCACTGTGCCTGGCTGATTTTATTTTATTTTTTTATTTTGTAGAGATCATGTCTTGCTATGTTGCCCATGTGGTCTCGAATTCCTGGGCTCAAGTGATCCTCCATCCCAGGCCTCCCAAAGTGCTGGGATTACAGGTGTGAGCTACTGTGGCTGGCAGGATTTTTTTTTTTTTCAATTTTTATTAGAAGTCCCTAAGTCTCGGCCGGGTGCAGTGGCTCACGCCTGTAATCCCAGCACTTTGGGAGGCTGAGGTGGGTGGATCACGAGGTCAGGAATTCGAGACCAACCTGGCCAACATAGTGAAACTCCATCTCCACTAAAAATACAAAAAAATTAGCAGGGCGTGGTGGTGGGAGCCTGTAATCCCAGCTACTTGGGAGGCCCAGGCAAGGAAAATCGCTTGAACCTGGGAGGCAGAGGTTGCAGTAAGCCGAGATCGCTCCACTGCTGTACTCCAGCCCTTATGACAGCGCGAGACTCTGTCTAAAAAAAAAAAAAAAAAAAGGAAGTCCCTAAGTCTAAGTCTCTTCCTTGCCCTTTGCCCTAGGCTCAGCTGAGATGGAAGAGTCAGGCCCCATCCCCCATCCCCTTCCTGGCCTTTCATTTACTAGATACCCAGCCATGTTGGGTTTTCTTCCTATATCCTGCCTGTAATCAAACCCTCTTTATTATTCTGTCCTCTTGATCAGAATCCGGCTATTCTTTTTGCTGAAAAATCTTCTTTGGCACTCTGGCAACAGAGAGAAACCTATCCAAGTGCCCTGTCTGTTGGTTTTCAAAGTGGCAGATTTTTGGCTCTTCAGGTACCTCTCTTTTTGCCAAACTTCTAATTAGTTTGCACCTATGATTCTTTAAATATTCTTTTGATATTTCCTTGGTGTTGGTAGCGAGGAAACCGTGAGCTCTGAGGAGCACAAGTTGGGAGAGACCAGAAGTTCTTATCCTTTCTTGGGGTCTGTGCTCCCTCTGAGAATCGGAGAAAAGCTCCCCAGAAAAAAACAACCAGAAAGATTTATTTAAGGATCAGAGGAAGTAATCACAGGAGACTTTCCTGCCTGCCTCACAAAACACAACTAGAAATAGACAGGTCTCTGGGAGACATCATGACAATGTGGCAAGTCAGTGCTTTTGTGGCAGGAGAGCGACATTCTGTGGGTGTGTGATAAGAGAGCGTTAAATGATCTGCATTTGGACAAACCCAGAAAGGTGCATTTGCGCTTCAGAAGGTGCAGATCTGGGAAAACTGCAAAAGGAGGTTAAAAAAAAAAAAAAACAGAAAAAGAAGAACCATGCCTTTTAAATGTGGCTCAGACATTGCTAACAATACTAATAATAATGACTGTCTTTGCCCCTTCCCTCTAACGTGTCCTTTTACTTGGGTACCTTCTGCTCAGAAAAGGGAGGTGACTTCGTGAAACAGTGACAGAAAAGGACCAAAATGCAATCTAGGTTATACTCAGAACAAATTTAATGTGACTTAGGAAAAGGCCAAGGAGGAGGGCATTTCATTAGACAATCGACCTGAAAATCAGATCTAACCTAAGTCACTGGTGGGGCGTGTTCCTTTCTATTTATAGCCAAGGACGGTAGCCATCTGATGACTGATTCTGGGAGTGCAGAAAATTCATGTGGACAAAACAAGACTGCTGAGGACCTGGGAAGGATGGTCCATCCATCATGGGATGAAGCTAACCTTGTTTTCATTTGCTGGAAATGTGTAGAAATCGTTTAACTCTTCCCAGATCATGAACAAAAAAGCCAGAACAATAGTTTCAATTAGGATGAACGGGGCACCCATGCCTCTGTCTGCCTTTGAATTTTTGCAGAACCTGTATATATTTGGTGAGGGGTGGTTTCAAATGTTTTCTGAATCAAAGGACTGCTTTTACTTGACAGGACGCTTCAGACAGCTTTTTTTTTTTTTTTTTTTTTGAGACGGAGTCTCGCTCTGTCGCCCAGGCTGGAGTGCAGTGGCGCAATCTCGGCTCACTGCAAGCTCCGCCTCCCGGGTTCACGCCATTCTCCGGCCTCAGCCTCCCGAGTAGCTGGGACTACAGGCGCCCGCCACTGCGCCCGGCTAATTTTTTCTATTTTTAGTAGAGACGGGGTTTCACCATGGTCTCGATCTCCTGACCTTGTGATCCACCCGCCTCGGCCTTCCAAAGTGCTGGGATTACAGGCGTGAGCCACCGCGCCCGGCCCAGACAGCTTTGATCTTGAAGTTTAGGATAAATTAGGATGGGTTTGAAACCCATCTAACAGAAAATGATGGAGCCGTGCGTATCAACTATGTAAGCATCAAACATCCTGAGGTTCCTACTTAGTCAATAATTCCGTGGTTATTTTAGACCAAGCTTCTATAATTACATCTTCATTATGCTTGGCAGACAGTGCTATTTCCAACACAGGAAGCAACGGCCTTGCCTTTGTTGTTGTCCTTCTAGGTAGCAGTTGAAGCCAAATGGACAGAAAGCCCAAGACAACATGAAGTTGTTCTACAAGTTATTTTGGAGAAATTGACTTACCATACCACTCATCAACCCATGCAAAAGCCTGTCTATGTCCAATCAGCAGAATGTCTCGGACCACCTACAAAGTAAAAGAAGGAGATTGAAATAATAGCATCGTTGATGAAAACTATTTGGAAGGCAAGTTGTTAACAATTCTGGGAATCTTTGCGATTACAGAGTTCTTAATCCCTCTGTCTGTAGGTGATGACAATTACAGGCTGCCCATAGGTCCTATAGTGCTCACACACCTCCAGCCCTTTCCCATGGTGTACATATACTTGCAGTATATTCATCTCCTTGTCTTATTTGAGAGTAGGGCTGGGTGTGTGTACAAACTAGTGACAAATACTTGACAGTCACACAGCAGTGATACAGATAAATCTCTAGGTTAATTACCTTGAAGTTTTTCTCTCCATCTAACTAAAACAGCACTACTTTTCATCTGTGGGAGGGTGTGTGTCTCACTGGTTGGTGCCAGGAGGTCATAAATGTTGGAAATCTAGAACACTTTTCTAGGCAGCAAGTCACTTTTTTTTTTTTTTTTGGAGACAGAGTCGCTCTGTCACCAAGCTGGAGTGCAGTGGCGCGATCTCGGCTCACAGCAACCTTCACCTCCAGGATTCAAGCAATTCTCCTGCCTCGGCCTCACGAGTAGCTGGAACTACAGGCACATGACACCGTGCCTGGCTAATTTTTGTATTTTTAGTAGAGATGGGGTTTCACCATGTTTGCCAGGATAGTCTCGATCTCTTGACCTCGTGATATGCCCGCCTCAAACTCCCAAAGTGCTGGGATCACAGGTGTTAGCCACCACACCTGGCCGACAGCAAGTCACTTCTAAGCAAACAGCACTTAACATTCCCTCTTTTCTGATGACATATCCTAAAAAGTGAACAGCACCTAATATTCTCTCTTTTCTGATGACATATCCTAAATATTGATTCTTTTTTTTTTTTTTTTTTTTGATACAGAGTCTTGCTCTGTCCCCCAGACTGAAGTGCAGTGGTGCAATCTCAACTCACTGTAACCTCTGCCTCTTGTGGTTAAGTGATTCTTGTGCCTTAGCCTCCTGAGTAGCTGGGACTACAGGTGCACGCCACCATGCCTGGCTAATTTTTGTATTTTTATTACGGACAGGGTTTCGCCATGTTGTCCAGGCTGGTCTCAAACTCCTGGCCTCAAGCAATTCACCTGCTTTGGCCTTCCAAAGTGCTGGGATTACAGGTGTGAGCCACCTCACCCAGCCTGATTCATTTTTTTAACTGTATATTTTAAAATAACTTAGAGTGTAATTGGATTGTTTGTAACACAAAGGATAAATGCTGGAGGGGATGGATACCCCATTCTTCACATTGCGCTTATTTCACATTATAGGCCTTATGAAAACATCTCATATACCCCCTATTTCTTTACACCTACAATGTACCCACAAAAATTATTTTAAAAATAAATATTGATTCAGTTTTTCTTTTTATCTTTTTTTTTTTTTTTGAGATGGAGTCTTGCTCTGTCCCCAGGCTGGAGTGCAGTGGTGCGATCTCAGCTCACTGCAACCTCCACCTCCCTGGTTCAAGTGATTCTCCTGCCTCAGCCTCCTGAGTAGCTGGGATTACAGGTGCCTGCCACCATGCCCGGCTAATTTTTGTATTTTTTTAGTAGAGACGGTGTTTCACCATGTTCGTCAGGCTGGTCTCAAACTCCTGATCTTGTGACCCGCCTGCCTCGGCCTCCCAAAGTGCTGGGATTACAGGCATGAGCCACCACGCCCGGCCTCAAATTTTAAACCAACATAAATGAAGGTGTAAGATACAATGTAAATAAATATCCTTTTAGGTTTGACTTTCATGTAATAGAAGGAGGGAAAAAAGGCAGTTTCTTTTAACTATCATTGAAAGGATGAAAAAAGAGACCTGAACTAGAATAGAACATAATGGGAATGATAAGCTTGACTGGACACAAAAGGGATGAAATTGTTACTTATGGTGACACATAATGGCAATAGAAGGCTAAGGAAAATAGTATATACCATTTGTGTGTGTGCGTGTGTGTGTGTGTGTGTGTAAATACTGTTCATGTGTTTTTATTTCATGGTATTCTTTTCCATCCTGGGTAAATATGTCTTTTTACATTTCTTGGATACTCACAGTCTCCCTCCAACATTCCTTTCTTCCTGCCAAACAAATCCAGTGATTGTCAAAAACCTCTCGTGGAAGGTTCAAGCATGTTTCAATAAATGAAGGATTTTAATTCGGTGAATTTGCAGAAACAAGGAAAGCATTTATAATGAAGTGTTTATGACTCCAGGCCTCTGGATATCTAGTGAGGCTTTTCTGACTTGAAAGTAGGAAACACATAATGAATACAAGAAACAACACGCAGCTATACACACTTGAGTGCTGAGTGTCTCAAATTCATGGAAATCAAAAGAACAGCATCGAGGCATCAGTAAATGTACCCTATTACACGAAGCACAACACAGCTGTCGGCTGGAAACAAGAATTCAATAATGTGCTAATGGCTCGCTTTCGAACATTTTTTTCCCCCTTAATTGTGAATAGATTCTTAAAAAAACAAAGGTGTTCAGAGAAAGGCATCCCTGGCACCTTCAACCCATGCAAATGCTAGCCTCAGATACTCATTAGCGACTCACATGCCAGAGCAGGTGTGTTTCTGAGCGTCAATAACACTTCATTATATTTGGAAAGGGCAAAGCATAAATCTTACAGGTATTTTCAAGAAACAGATTCTTAAAACTAGCTTGAGTCAGCCGTGAGAAAAGAAACACAGTGGACCCTGGAGCAATCTAAATATGGCCTTTTAAATTATTATTATTATCATTATTATTATTATTTTTTGGAGACAGAGTCTTGCTCTGTCACCCAGGCTGTAGTGCGGTGGTATGACCTAGGCTCACTGCAGCCTCTGCTTCCTGGGTTCAAGTGATTCTCCTGCCTCGGTCTCCCGAGTAGCTGGGACTACAGGGTGCAGCACCACGCCCAGCTAATTTTTGCATTTTTAGTAGAGATGGGATTTCACCATGTTGGCCAGACTGGTCTCGAACTCCTGACCTCAAGTGATCCGCCAGCCTTGGCCTCTCAAAGTGCTGGGATTACAGGTGTGAACTGCGCCCAGCTTTATTTTTATTTTGTATTATTCTCTTTTTAACTGACAACTCTGGCTTTGATAAATGTGCTTTGTGAGTGGAAATAAAACACACTATGAAGCTGGGCGTGGTGGCTCACGACTGTAAACCCAGTACTTTGGGAGGCCAAGGCGGGCAAATCACTTGAGGTTAGGAGTTCGAGACCAGCCTGGCTAACACAGTGAAACCCCGTCTCTACTAATAATACAAAAATTAGCCGGGTGTGGTGGCACGCACCTGTGCCTTAGCTACTCAGGAGGCTCAGGCACAAGAATTGCTCGAATCTGGGAGGCGGAAGTTGCAGTGAGCCGAGATCATGTCACTGCACTCCAGCCTGGGCAACAGATTGAGACTCCATCTCAAAAAAACAAAACAAAACAAAAAAACACTATGATAGTGGCCCTAGAAAGAGGAGGTCTTTTTACCTTAAAAAGCCACACACAAAAAGGGATGCTGTGGGAAACCAAGGAGGATACTGTCTTACATAGACACAGAGCTGAGGCTGGAAAACATGTACTTTCAGAGCTGCAATTGCTTTCCTGTGCGATAACCAGGACACAGGAGGAAAACAGGAGATCCTGGAGCTTGATTTCTATGTTTCACATTTCATTCTGGCTCCTGGCTGGCTGGCTGGGTTCTGGAGCACGGGAGAGGAGCGGCGTGCTTCTCTGTTCAAGAAAACACCCAGGGCTCTCATGTTTGTGCCAGAGTCCACCATTTACCATGAGCCTGAGTTATGAGGGTTCAAGAGACTGGCAGTCTAGTTCTTGGACCTAAATTCCAGAACTAAACTTTTTATTGTTAACTGGACCCCAATCTCAATAGACAAATCCATCTAAGTAATGAAAAGCTGAGTGCATTAAGGTTAAATTCCAGTGACTCCAAAATAATTTTGGAAAGCTACTCTTTATCAGTTTTTAAGTGGAAAAATAAACAGATAACCAGCCTATCTGGAATGTAGAGACAATTTGAGTAGTATTTATTCTTATGAAAATGAGAGCAGCTACAAAGGGCAATGCTCAACATTGCATTTCCCATTTTTTTCTCCCATGAGGGACAGAGTCATGTTAGAAACCCTGAGAAAATATGGATCATCACCAAGTGGGATTCTGCTACAAAATGAACATGCTGGCCGGGCGCGGTGGCTCACGCCTGTAATCCCAGCACTTTGGGAGGCCGAGGCGGGCAGATCACGAGGTCAAGAGATCGAGACCATGCCGGCCAATGTGGTGAAACTCCGTCTCTGCTAAAAATACGAAAATTATCTGGGCATGGTGGCATGCGCACCTGTAGTCCCAGCTACTCGGGAGGCTGAGGCAGGGGAATTGCTTGAACCCGGGAGGCATAGGTTGCAGTGAGCTGAGATCGTGCCACTGCACTCCAGCCTGGTGACAGAGTGAGACTCTGTCTCAAAACAACAACAGCAACAACAACAACAAAAAAAACCAAAATGAACATGCTTAGTCAAAGTAGGTATACAATTGAAATCTGCATCCTGAGGCTGTTAACAATTCTTTGGTAACAGAATTATTATTATTATTTCCTTTTTTTTTTTTTTTAAGATGGAGTCTTGCTCTGCTGCCCAGCCTGGAGTGCCAGTAGCCAACAATTTCAGCTACTGCAACCTCTGCCTCCCTGGGCTTTCAAGCAATTCTCCTGCCTTCAGCCCCCTGAGTAAGCTGGATTACCAAGCACGTGCCCATTACACCTGCTAATTTTTTTGTATTCTTTAAGTAGCGGAGACAGGGTTTGCAGTGTTGGCCAGGCTGGTCCTCGACCCTGACCTCAAGGTGATCACCTGCCCTCAGCCTCCCAAAGGGCTGGATTACAGGATGAGCCAAACGCACGCTGGCCACTTTGGTAACAAGAATTATAAAGCGAAAGATCTGGGGTATACTGGTCTAATGGGAACTATTGGGTTTCTTGTTCTATCTCTGGGCAATCTTCCCACTTAGTGCCACATTTGGCAGGATCTTTTTAGGTGGCAATTAACTTTAAGGGTTGTGCTCCACAAGATAAGCCCCTTGCGGCTGTTCCCACCGTGGCCTCTGTCTGGGGAGTAGATGAGCCAAACCAAAGTGAGAAAAGTTATATTTCCCAAAATACACTTGCCTAAACAGACACCGAGGTCACAGAATGAAGCAGACGAGTGTAAAACAATCTATACTGAAGAAAATTGACCATGCATAAATGCAATTTTCAATCCAAAAGTAGTTTTTCCATTTTTTTATTTTTTATTTTTTGAGACAAGTTCTCTCTTTCACCCAAGGCTGGAGTCAATGGGTGACACTCGGTTCACTGCAATCTCTGCCTCCCGATTCAAGCAATTTCTCCTGCCTCAAGCCTCCTGAGTAGCTGGTTACAGGCACCCACCACCCATGCCCAGCTAATGTTTTTGTATTTTTAGTAGAGGACGGGTTTCACCATGTCCAGGCTGGTCTTGAATCTCTTGGCCTCAAGGGATCCACCCGTCTCGACCTCCCAAAGTGCTAGGATTTACAGGCATGCCCACCCTGACTGCCCAAAATGGTTTTTGAGATGCGTGGACCTGATGTTGGTGCAGTATTTGTGCACCCTGCTGTGTATCATGTACTTTAAACTGGCAAATATATACCAGTTACCTTTTTCCATAGCCCAGGAACTGCTGCTGGGCCACTTACCTTGTGTACAAACTGTTCCACTCTGGTTTGAAGCCCCCCAGACCTCAAACTTCACAGTCACCAGCGCTTGTAGGAGCACATGATGGCACTGATGATTGTCTCTCCAGCCCTTCCCTCAAACTGTCCCCGTCCTGTCTTCTCTGACTTGAAGTGCTTAGGATCCTCAAAAAAAAAAAAAAAAAAATCAAAGAATTTGATATATAAAAGTTTAATGATCGATATTAAATGTCAGGATAAGTATGAAATAACATAGAAACAGGGCTGGGTGCGGGGCTCACGCCTGCGTAATCCCAGCACTTGAGGGACCGAGGCGGGCAAATCACCTGAGGTCAGGAGTTCGAGAACCAGCCTGACCAACATGGAGAAACCCCTGTCTCTACTATAAATACAAAATTAGCTAGGCATGGTGGGTAATGCCACCTACTGCCTGTATCCCAGCTACTTGGGAGGCGAGGCAGGAGAATTGCTCGAACCCGGGAGGCGGAGGTGGCGGTGAGGCCGAATCGCGCCATTGCACTCCAACCTGGGTAACATAGAGTGAAACTCCATCTCCAAAACAACCAAAAACAAAACATAGAGAACAGAAATAGAATTGTAATTGACAAGGATGAGGAAAAGGAGGATGTAGAGGTGATTATGAATGGATATAACATTGTCCTCTTGAGTGATGAAAACGTTCTGGATTAACAGTGGGTAAGTTGCACAACCTTCTGAATATGCTAAAAACCACTGAAATTCACATTTATTTAAAAGGAGAATGTATATTGTGTGTCTCAATTTTTCTTTTCTTTTTTTTTTGAGATGGAGTCTCACTCTGTTGCCCAGGCTGGAGTGCAGTGGCGTGATCTCAGCTCACTGCAAGCTCCGCCTTCTGGGTTCACATCATTCTTCTGCCTCAGTCTCCCCTGGGACTACAGGTGCCCGCCACCATGCCAACTAATTTTTTGTATTTTTAGTAGAGACGGGGTTTCACCGTGTTAGCCAGGATAGTCTCTATCTCCTGACCAAGTGATCTGCCCACCTCGGCCTCCCAAAATGCTGAGATTACAGGCGTGAGCCACCGCACCTGGCTTCAATTTTTTCTTTTCTTTTTTTGTAGAGATGGGTCTCACTATATTGCCCAGGCTGGTCTCCAGCTTCTCACCTCAAGTGATCCTCCCTTCTTGGCCACCCAAAGTACTGGGATTACAGGTGTGAACCACCATACCTGGCCTCACAACAGCTTTAAATACAGTAGACAAAAACCGGGAACAGTCCAAATGTTCATCAGCAAGAAACCAAACAGATAAATTGTGGTCTAGGTGTACAATGGAATACTAGACAGCAACGAAAAAGAACAAATGGCTGATGCATGCAAAAACATGTACAACTCTGACTGATGCTATGTTAAGCAAAAGTAGTCAAATGCAATAGTATATACATTGTATAATTCAAATTGAAATTCAAGAACAAGCAAAACTTTATGTATGGTGATAAAAGTTAAATGAGCAGTAATCTCTTTGACGGTTGGGGTTTGGTGCAAAGGGACATGAAGGAAACTTCTGGGATGATTATATGTTGATCTGGATGTAACGTGTACACATTCACTGAGTTTTACACTTAAGATTTGTATTATACTTCAATTATAAGAATGAAAAACAGGTAAAAGGGTTTTTGGTTGTTGCTGTTTTTGAGATGGAGTCTTGCTCTGTCACCCAGGCTGGAGGGCAGTGGCTTGATCTTGGCTCACCCCAACCTCTGCCTCCTGGGTTCAAGTGATTCTCCTGCCTCAGCCTCCTAAGTAGCTGGGGTTACAGGCGTCTGCCACCACACCCAGCTACTTTTTGTATTTTTAGTAGAGACCGGGTTTTGCCATGTTGGCCAGGCTGGTAAACCTGGCAGTCAGGGGGTCCTGGGAAGTAGATAGGATGAGACACAAAACCACATTGGCTGGGACAGCCCCAGCCCTTTTCATGCAGACCAGACTGTGTCTCAGGGGTGGGCTTGGGAGGTAAAAGCAGGCTGCTTCCAAATAAAGACAGGTTTATTCCCTCAGGTCTGGCTGTGGCTCTGCCAAGGCTATCTGGCACTGGCCTCTAAAGAGGGCTTTCAGGCTGCCCTTGACTTCCCTTACAGATCTGCCTCCTCTGGCAGGACCTTTTTGCTACAGTGACCACTTCCACAACTGTAGCTCCTCTAAAAAACACAGTGCACTCCCAGGGCCAACTTCCGTGCCAGGCTGACGCGAGGCCTTCATCAAAGTACAGGGTGAATGCTTGCCCTCCTGCCTCTTCTCAATCTCTCCATCCACCATTCCCCACTCTGCTGCCACAGCGGCCTCCCAGATGTAAACTCCCCTCCTCAAAATCTGTCCACGGCACCATGAGTGTAGCATAAAAGTAATATGCCCTGGCAGGAAGGAAGTACAAGGTCTTTTATGTTATTACTTATTTTTCTGGCATCTTTTCCAGACCAGCCTCCCAATGCCACACCTCTCTTGTGAGCCTTAAGAAGCTCCCTCTGGCCACATTCTCCAAAGCCCCAGGAGTCTGGAACCTCCTAGATAGGCACTGGTCCCCCTTCCTGAAGTTCCTTCTCCCCGACCAACTCCCGCACTCTGACTGACTCTCCTTTCCTTGCTTCAAGACTTAAGTTAGGGGCCGGGTGCAGTGGCTCATGCCTTTAATCCCAACACTTTGTGAGGCCAAGGCAGGAGGACTGCTTGAGGCCAGAAGTCCAAGGCCAGGCTGGCCAACACAGCAAGACCCCAGCTGTATTTAAAAAAAAAAAAAAAGACAGAAAAACACTTGGTCAGGCATGGTGGCTAAGGCCTGTAATCCAGCACTTTGGGAGGCCAAGGTAGGTGGATCATTTGAGGTCAGGAGTTTGAGACCAGCTTGGGTAACATGGTGAAAGCCTGTCTCTACTAAAAATGTAAAAAAAATTAGCTGGGCGTGGTGATGTACGCCTGTAATCCCAGCTACTAGGGAGGCTGAGGCAAGAGAAGCACTAGAATCCAGAAAACGGAGCTTGCAGTGAGCCGAGATTGTGCCGCTGCACTCCAGCCTGGGCGATAGAGAGAGACTCTGTCTCAAAAAACAAAAAAAAAATAAAAAATAAAAACTTCATCCCCTCCAAGGACCCTTTCCTGGGTGGCTCAGAATGAGGGCTCCTCCTTTATGCTTCTGAAGCTTCCTCTGTCATGGGTCTGGCAGGTGAGCGCATCACAGATGTCGAATACATGCTTGTTGAGTGAATGCTTGAACCCTATTTGACGTATCACACACGTGTGGCTGGGACATCAGAATCTTAACCAACATTTGGTAAATACCTAAGTGAAAGACTAGTTGAAATTCTATGTTCACAATAACAAGTGTTGGAAAAGATAGGGAGAAACTAGCAGTCTCCTACATTGTGACAGAAATATAAATAGTGTGGCCACTTTGAAAAACATTTCAGTAGCTCATCAAAAGATTAAACATAGGGTTACCATTTAACCTAGCCATTTCACTCCCAGATATCTGCCCGAGAGATCTGAAAACACATATCCACACAAAAACATGTACATGGGCCGGGTGCAGTGGCTCGTGCCTGTAATCCCAGCACTTTGGGAGGCCGAGGCGGGTGGATCACTTGAGTCCAGGAGTTTAAGCCTGGGCAACATGGCAAAACCCCTTCTCTACAAAAAATACAAAAATTAGCCAGGCGTGGTGGCATGTGCTTATAGTCCCAGCTACTTGAGAGGCTAAGGTGGGAGGATCACTTGAGCCCAGGAAATTGAGGCTGCATTAAGTTGTAATTATGCCACTGCACTCTAGCCTCAGTGACAGAGTGAGACCCTGTCTCAAAAAATAAACAAAACTCCAAAAAACAAAACATGTACATGGATGTTCTAATTCATAATGGCCAAAAAAAAAAAAATGGAAACAATACAAATTTCCTTGAACTGATAGATATACAATATGTGGTATGTCCATACAATGAAATATTATTCTGGCATAAAAATAAATGAAGTCTTCTTTTTTTTTTTTTTTTCTTTTCTTCTTTTTTTCTTTTTTTGAGATGGAGTCTTACCCTGTCACCCAGGCTGGAGTGCAGTGGCATGATCTTGGCCCACTGCAACCTCTGCCTTCTGGGTTCAAGCAATTCTCTTGCCTCAGCCTCCCGAGTAGCTGGGACCACAGCATGCACAACCACGCCCGGCTAATTTTTTGTATTTTAGTAGAGACGGGGTTTCACCATGTTGGTCAGGCTGGTCTCGAACTCCTGACCTCAAGTGATCTGCCTACCTTGACCTCCCAAAGTGCTCAGATTACAGGCATGAGCCACCATGCCCGGCCATGAAGTCTTCTATTTTATTTATTTGTTTATTTATTTTTGAAACAGGAGTGCTTTATGGTCCAAGTGGAGTGTCTGGGAGGAGTGCCTCCCAGCTCTCGCCTGTGGGCTCACCTGAGCGGGAGTGGAGCTGAGGTCACTGTGGGAAGCACAACCCCCGCTCCCAGGAGAGGCCTCGCATGCTGCCTTCAGTCTCTCGCCAGCCTCGCCTAGCGTGGGGCCTGGGCCGCCCTTTAGGGTGGGTCTGCACACCCATGCTCAGGGCTCCTGGCTGGAAGCAGAGCCATAGGCATGCGGCGGCCCTGGGTGAGCACAGAGGGCAAGCAGGTGCCGGGGCGGTGCACATCCCGCAGCCAGGCGGTCCCTGCCCAGCCCCGGCCATGAGGTCTTCTTAAAAGAAGATATACAGGTCGCCGACAAACATGAAAAAATGCTTCGCATGACTAATCATCAGAGAAATGCAAATCAAAACCACAATTAGATACCATCTCACACCAGCCAGAATGGCTATCATTAAAAGGTCAAAATACAGTAGATGTTCGTGAGGCTGTGGAGAAAACGGAATGCTTTACACTGTAGGTGGGAATGTAAATTAGTCCACACTGTGGAAAGCCATCTGGAGACTTCTCAAAGAACTTAAAACAGAGCTACCCAGCAACTGCATTACTGAGGAACGGGTACAGAATAGATGGTATATCCATTCAGTGAAATATTATTATGCCATAAGAAGAAATGAGGCCAGGCACAGTGTGGCTCATGCCTGTAATCCCAGCACTTTGGGAGGCCGAGGTGGGTGGATCACCTGAGGTCAGGAGTTCGAGACCAGCCTGACCAATATGGTGAAA